AAAAGTGTCAGAACGACACTCTTTGTGAAACAGAGAGAGTATATAATTATGATAATAATTAAGTTTTGTTGTAAAAGAAAATAGTAAAAAGTCCCATATCCACAAAAGAGACTAAAGGTGGAGTTCAATATGTTTTATAAATAATATTACATTCCACAAAAAAAATATAGTGTTTAGACTTATACTACTCCCTTCGGATTTATGTAATTGTCTTTTTAAAGTTATACACACAGATTAAAAAAATATTAATTGTGTTAGCTTTTCAATATAAAAACATCATTAATTATCTATTTAAATACGATTCAACCAATAATAAAACAAATTACATAATAAAAATAATTATAAAAAATAAAAAAAATTAATAAATGTTGCATTGAAAACTGAAAACGACAACTAATTTAAAACAAACAAAATTCCCTAAAATGACAACTAATAAAAAACGGAGGGAGTATTAAACTTTCGAAAACCTGTCATTAAGTTAAAATTTTTAATCAATAAGTCGCCAATTGTGACAGTTATGTTGAAAAACTCGACTACGAGAGTTTAATAAATAATTTTGCAGGGAAAAATGTAAGAAGAGCTATATTTCAGCAATAAACTATATGTTTTACTGATTTTTTATTTTTTAATAAATTGTTTATGAAATTTGATTGTTTTATGAAGTTTTAGTTTTATTTTTTATTTTTATTATTTTTAATTTAATATATATATATATATATATGAAAGATGAAAATATATATTTTAAAAAATTAAATACGGATATCTAAATTGATTGGTCCGGTGCTATTGATGAGTGAATCTCGGACCAAGGAGATGGCGTTACATATAGATTCAAAACATAAATCTCCGTTGTAGGATTGCTCTCATAGAAAATATCCATTTCAAACACAAAAGTTTTATATGTAATACGTAAGCAAATATATTGCCTCTTATTAACTAAACTAATAATAATATAACTTGTTATCATCCAATATAAAACTCATGGACCCCCATAATTCACAACTTCTTAAATAGATAGAAATATCTCGTTGTCTTTTTTGATTAGAAAAGTGTCGTTATTATCAATATTAGTTCACTTGTATAAAAATATATAGGGTGCACATTCTAATTATCAATATTAGTTCAACTTCATAGAAATAAACATCATAATATATTTATTAAGTTCATAAGAACAAATTATATATACTACATTCTTGTATATTTAAAACTACATTTCAAGATATGGTAGAAAGTGAACTATATTAATATTTGAAAACCAGAAATATTATGAATTGGTCAGTTAGTTAAAAATAAAAATTGACAGCTTTTAACTAGGGTATGCAAAATAATTAAATAAAATTAGTATGAAAAATATATGGACAACCTCATGAAATTCATCAAAAGGTAGTGCCTACATAAACTTTGTAATTCCCAGAGCCTACCAAGCAAATGAAAAAAAAAAGTTTCAAAGGCTGCAACTTTCCCTGAGTTCATTGAAAAATCAAGTGTGTTAATTGTGATCATGTTTGAGTCTTGGAAATAGCTAATCTTCAAATCAGCTCAAATACAGCTATGTTTCTCCGCCAATGATCTTGAAAAGCAAATGATTCATTTTTTTTTTGGCCAAACGCAAATGATTTATAAATTAACATTTCATAATGAAACCATTGAATCATGAAATCATATTGTTAGATGAGTTAATAAAATCATAAAATATGCATCACAATATATAGAGTGTTTATACGGATGACAATCATGACTCTAGTTGTAATTGTTGTTAGAATTGAACTTCTGTTCGACTCGAAGAAATTGTTGTTAGTAGCAATGATGGTTTTCAAAATAAAATAATTGCAATTCATGAAAGAAGTTCTCTAAAGCGGAAGCATCAATTGTGCCTTTTCCAAAATAATATTAGGATTGGAATGAAATGAAATACCAAATCAATTGGACTAGAAACGGAAACGGCTAATCTATATAATTACTATATTCACTTGTTTCTTGCGATAATATTTATAAATATTAAAATTTTCACTTTAGTATTTAAGTACTTCGCTATTTTATTCAGAAAATACATTGGTTTTATTGGTAATAAAGAAATACGTCACCTGGGAAATTTCGATATGGTGGTTGGGTTAAGGCATGACAAAGTGGTTGATTTTGAAACCAAAGGTTAAGGTAAGAGTAATTTATTGCCTGAAAATCATCATTAAGGAATTAAATAAATAATAAAGCAAAAGCCAAAAGGAAGAGGATAAAAAAGGTAAAACGGGAGTGGAAATAATTAGTGTTGTCAGGTCCCAGAGGTGTATTACTGTTTCGCCTTAATTTAAATTTATTTGGGAATCTAAGAAATAATAAAGGTAAGAAACAAAAAACTAGGGGGTGTATTTTAATAACACACTACTATTTGCACATAAATGCTGGGATTTTGTTACCCATTACATCAACAAATCATTTTTCAAAAGTGAAAAAACTTTCATGTAATTGTGTACATCTTTATTTCTGTGAAGATGTGATAGATTCATTTTTTTTTAAATTGCCATAGCACAGTATTATTCAATTCAAGATAAAAAAGGTTAAATGATCTTACTATAGACAACTCAAACTGTAGCATAACTATTTTTGCGAACAAGCATAAGGCCTTCATAAGATTTGGGAACAATTTTTTAGCAAAAAAAAAAAAAAAAAAAAGAACACATTTGGAAGAAAAAATTGCAATACTATAAAAATCTGAAATAATATATTAGTATTATAGGAGTTGGAGTGGGAGTAGGAGTTGGAGTTGGAGTTGGAGTTGGAGTTGGAGACTTGGAGTTGAAGTTGAAGTTGGAGGAGTTGAAGTGTGTTCATAAATGATATTCTTAAGTAATGTTAGGTTATTACCTAGATAAGACTTTGGATGGTGTGTGTGATATATCTCATCTCTCTTTCTACTGAGAGCCGAGATAAACTAGTTCTATCAAGATTCATATGATAGACCAATGCATAAGGTAGTCACCATAGATCTATGTGTCAATTTGTAATTAGCAAAAACTTAATAACCAAAATTGACCCTCATCCATATATTGATTCCCTACATTAGATTTATATTTACTTCTTATAATTTGTTGTTTTAATTATTTTGGTTTAAAATGTAATGTAATTTTATTTTATTTTTGTAGAAGAACACTTGTTTTAGTAATTTTTGTTAATTAAAAAAAAACGGACATGGTCCACTAAGTCGAATATAAAAATATATGTCACGGACAGGGGAAAAAGGGAAAATAAAGTGATAGAAAAAGGGTTTTAATAACTTGATTGCTGTAGAGGGAAAGTATCATCAGCTTTTGGTTTTGGGAAGAAGAACTCGACCCCCACTTCTTTTTGTGTTTATCAATGTTACATTAATTCGATTTTGTATATTGGTTGCAATGTAGCATTAGCACTACTTTCTTTTCGTGTTTATCAATGACACACGAATAATCCATCTTACCCTTATTCAGCTAAATATTGAATAGAGTTCCACTTCCACAGTACTTGGTAAAAATACCCAAAAAAATTTGTGATTTGGTTTTTCTTTTAAAATTTCTAAAAAGCATGATTTTAATATGTATTATTGTATATACATGTGTACAGTTGGGATTTGGGAACATATGTTATTATGTAGATGGTGTTAATTTATAATTATGAATTTTTTTTTGCTGCTAAAATACTTTAACCGGTTTGTGTCCATAATCTTAATCGGACCCATTAATAACAACCAATACAAACAAATTATTAGTACACTGCATAAGTTTCAAATGTTTATAGCCTGAAGATTTGCAATGTAAAATGAGTAAAACATGTATATGTTCAGTACAAACAATGATTAAATATAAGTGGCTATTAAGAAATGTAGATGCGTGATCCTATTTTGAACATAAAAAAATCGACACATTTATTCATATGAAACGAGTCGTCACTCTTTGAAACTCATAATGCATTTGGTTGTCCTCTAATTTACCAGCAGCTAGGATAATTGCATACATGCGTACAAAGGAAGAGTCATCTTCTTATTATTCGTTTTTCACCGTACATTAGTTTTAAATTCTCGATTCCACCTTTTTCTTTGTTACTCTATTTAACTTTTTTTATTTATTTTTCTTTTGTTTTAACTTTTACTTTTCTTTATATGAATAGACCAAACGGTCAAATATTTGGGCCCCTGTCTTTTTGCATGATTTTTAGTAATTTTGATTAAAGGTTTGTGATTTAAATGCAGTTAATAAAGCAAAGCTAAAGTCTCATAATTACAGCATGGGAATAAAGGTTAATCTTTCTTTTTTTTGACATAAGTTTTTAATGGTTAAATAGCTTCTTATATGTTGTTATCATTTCACATTCAGATAATTACTGCCATACCTTACTTTTTCTTTTCATAATAAAAAACAAAATCTCAGCCTTTTCTTCTTTTGTCCTTTAGTGGCCAGTCTAAATATATTTTGTTTTCCCTTATTTACTGACATTTTATTATTACTTAATTAAGCGGATCATACAATGATGTATTAAAAACTGAAAATATAATTAATTTTTAATTTACTACATTTGTATTTTATTTTTCATAAGATAGTACAAGTATACCCAGAACGAGTAGTATAAGATTTACTTCTGACACGTGTTGCGTAACTATTGGCTAAAAGTCAGTTCCCCACTATAAATAAAAAACGAAAAAAAAGAGAGGAATAATCCATTTTCGGATATCCCCGATATTCCACGGTAGTGGAGGACAAAAGCGTAATTGACCAGTACCAATTACTGACACGTCTCCGTAAAAAGGATTTACCACCACGCTCAGATGAAAACGACAAAAATGTAATTTAAAAAAAAAAAACGACCTCCTCCCACTAAAGAAAGGGGTAAAACGGTGAAAATGAAGAAAAATCAGAATAGTTACCAAGCTGATGTGGCAATAACAGTGCCACCTCAGCTTCATCTTTGGACCTCTTCAGCTTCGGATCTCTGCTCCTTTATAAGATTAAGCCAACTTCTCTTTACCCACACCATCTCACCCACACCAGAAAAATCAAAAAATACGTTTCTCTCTTATAAGAAATCTCTCTTTCTTTTTTCTTCTCTTCTCCTCTCTAGATTTGTCGCTTACCTCTAAATTCTCCGGCGATGAATCTCGCCGGGAAAATGAATATTCCGGTAATCATTTCCTCTGTTTCCGTCTCTAGTAACGCTATCTCTGACCATCGCCGTCACGTGTTCCGTGAAAATCCTCGCCGATCCGTCTTCTAGACTTTTCCTAGTATATTATTCTTTGCTTCGTTTTGTGAAAAAAGAAATGATCCGCTGATTGCAGAAGACTGTCTAGGTTTCTTCTGGTTTTAGCTGAGAGGTTTTGTTTAGATTCTCTGTTTTCTTCTTTGAATCCGTGGAGATACCAAATTTTTGGGACTTTTATAACGATTAGTTTTTTGTGGGAGAGAGATCTGTGAGGTTTTTTGGAGGAGACGGAGTGTAAATTGAATTTGAATTTTCGTCTTCTGTGTTGAAATTGACTTGGACCATAATTGGTGAAGAGAGAGAGAGAGAGAAGTTAGATCTTCGTCTTTGTTCAGTAAACGATGCCATTTACGATGAAGATCCAGCCGATTGATATCGATTCACCTTCCCTAGCTCCAGGCAAACCGGTGCTCAAATCTCGTCTCAAGCGGTTGTTTGATCGGCCGTTCACGAACGTACTGAGAAGCGGAACCACCGAGAAACCATTCGCCGTCGCCGTCGTCACCGGTGAAGCTCAATGCAATCCCGTCACGGAGTTCGAGCCGAGCTCCGTTTGTTTAGCGAAGATGGTTCAAAACTTCATAGAGGAAAACAACGAGAAGCAAGCGAAATGTGGACGCAACCGCTGCAATTGCTTCAACGGCAACAACGATAGCTCCTCCGACGATGAATTAGATCTGTTCGGAGGTTCGTTCGATTGCTTCAACGGCGGTTCTCCGTGCGACGCCTCCGATCATCTCAAGGTATACACCGTTTGTCCCTCACCTCTCTCTCTCTCTCCGTTTGATCAGTGTTAACGGAATTGTAATTCTCGATCCCAATCAGAGCTTGATCCAGTGCGCGAGCGTCGCCGAGAGGAACCTATTAGCCGACGCGGCGAAGATTGTGGATAAGAACAAATCAGTGAAACGGAAAGACGATATGAAGAAGATCGTCAACGAAGGACTCTTATCTCTTAATTACGATTCTTCAATCTGCAAATCGAAATGGGAAAAATCTCCTTCTTTCCCAGCTGGTAAAGATCTCTCTCTCCACAAACCTCGTTTCTACTTTTTTTTTTGACGACCCTTCACGAAATCTGTGTGACTGATTTTTTTTTTCACGAATTTTCAGGTGAATATGAGTACATAGATGTGATTATTGGAGAAGAAAGATTGCTAATCGATATAGATTTCCGATCGGAGTTCGACATAGCGAGGCAGACGAGTGGTTACAAGGCGTTGCTTCAATCTCTACCGTTCATCTTCGTCGGAAAATCTGATCGGTTGAGTCAGATCGTGTCGTTGATCTCGGAGGCGGCGAAACAGAGCTTGAAGAAGAGAGGGATGCATTTGCCTCCGTGGAGGAAAGCCGAGTACATGCGATCTAAATGGCTCTCCACTTACGTTCGAGCCTCCGTCGTTGCCTCTGGAAACGCCGAGGAGCCGCCGGTTGCGGCGGCCGCGGCGGTGTCGGAGCTGGATTGTGCAGAGCTTGAGCTGGTTTTCGAGGAGAAATCTTTATCTCCTCCGGTAGTGATTAATTCTTCCTCCTCTCCTTTTTCGTCTGTTGTCGACGGCGATGATGACGTGGCAATCCCGACGGTGGAGAGAGAAGTGAAGGCCGTCACCGGATTAGCTTCACTCTTCAAGGAAAAGCCGTAATAAAAAAATTTTGAGTTTTTTTTCCTTTTTTCTAATTTTCGTTAATTTCCAAAAGTAAAAACTTGAGGAAAAAATATAATTAAAAAAAAAATCTATATAACATTACCATATTCCTTTTTTTTACCTTTTTTACTTTGTAGTTGTTTTTTGACCTCTTTTGTTTTTTCTTCGCAAGGGGTGACCACTTTGTACTTAGTACCGTCCACGGTGAAAAAGTAAAATAATAATAATATTACTATTCCCCAAATAAATAAAATTGTTTATCTATCTAGAATTTAGTACTTCCGAAACTCAAAAACACCTGAGAAACTGTGCAGTGTTGTGGATAAGAATCTTTAAAAACTATTAATTGATATTTATAATCTCTGTATAATCTTAAGACGATTCGTGTTTAAAATATGTAAGCGCATAAGGGAACATAAGAGTATTGACACGATCTTTAATTTTAGGTTTCTCATCTTTTCATAAACCTTATACAATTCGATAAATTAAACGTTACGAATTTAATTTGTTTACTAATGACGACTGCTTTGAGAGAAGAGAGAAGCTCGTGGGCTCTCGATAGCAGTGGAGTGCCAGAGCTGTTCTTGAACAACGTCTCATATATTATTCTCTTTTTGCTTTTCATTTTTGTTTTTCCCTAACTATGATTATTTTAACGATTTTGCTTCGTTAATCTTTATTTGATATCTTTTCTAAAACCTGGTTCATTTTTGTCATTTTGGATTAGCAATAAAAATCCGCATTGCTTAGGTGAAATTTTTTTCTTTAGTGTGAAAAAAGTTTAGGTGGATTTATATGTAAATCAAAATATTTTTATCATTTTCATGTATAATCCACTTACCTGCTTTATATTTTTTTTATCATTTGCATGTAAATAAAAAAAACAATGCATGTATCAGCTGCTTCATATTTTATCATTTTATGTGATTCGGATGTTAATTGGATTGATATTTTGTCTCTACGAGTGCAATAAATTTCGAGAGATCGATATTTTTTTTTGTCATGATGCATTTCAAAATTTGAAGGAGAAAAAAAAATAAGTGGCTCGTGCTTGTAACACGTGCTAGATATTTGTACATATACAGTAACCATCGATCGGTATACAAAATTATTTTGCAGGGTTTCTTAATTTAATTAAACGGTAATCACAATTTTGACTCTATTGTGGACAAAACAAATTATACATTTAATTGATTGGTTTCTAAATATAAAATATTCTATCGCTTTCACCATACAATATACATTCTAATAGTTGCAAACTTAATTATCTATAGTCAATATTATATTACAATAATAATTGAAAACACCTAAAACAATTCTATCATTTGAATAAACAAGAAATAATAATATAGGTTTATGATTATTTTTCTTATTGCATTCATTTTTGTAAGATGTTTAGAAGAAAACCAGTTACTGAAAAATAAAGTAATATATCTGTATAAAGTGTTAAACGGGTGATAATGAATAAAATGCTAATGTGATGCTTACACTAAGTCAGTAAACTAATATTTTGGAAAAAGATTAAATTCTACCGCATTAGAAAGATTCAATTTTTAACGTGCACTATAAAGTTGGTGATCATATTTTAATTGATCATTGTTTATGTGGTTAAGGTTAATACGTAGCGTTGTGATGCAATATTAAAAATCATGTGGTTAGCGTTAATTATATGGTTGTTTAACCATGCAAGCAACGATCAATCAAATTATATTCACTATATAAGTAGAATTGTTTTTTTTTTCTTTCTAACATTCATAAGTTGGGATATAGATTCCGTATTCTTAGTTGAAAGAGAAGATAAACTATGTTGATGAGTATGAAATGCGATTCGTTTTCTTCTTCTTCTTTACTGTTCTAATAATAAATAAATTGATATTCAAATAAGCATTAATAACTAAATAAATTTTATATTTAGTAAGTTTAACAATTGAAGATGAAAATGAAAAGAAGATGATCTATCGGACAAAAAAGAAGATGAACTATCAAAGACAACAAAGAAAACATTTTACATAATTTTCTTTCAGAATACCAAATTAAAAATAATACAGGAATAACAAATGTAAAAAAAAAAGATTATAGTTTTCACTGTTGTAATAGTCTTGAATATCGATACATTCATTAGCTCTTCGTATCCCAAAAGCTTACAAACAAGCTCAATTTTAGCGGCAGCAATTCATCATTTCTCTTTGTCCAAAAAATAAAAAACTCATCATCTCTAGGAATATTTACATTAAATCATTTAATTAACCAATTTAGCTACATTTGTTGTGAAACTTAAGTATCATCTTCTAAATCATAAAAAAGAAACAAAAATAATCGTTTAGTGGGGTAAATCTAGAGTGATTTAAGCCGATCGTCTACAAAATGTTTGAAAAATTGATATCCTATTACATACCTTTAACTCTTTTTTTTTTCAATTGAGCCCAGGGAAATATGATCTTAACTAGAATCGTACATATGTAGAAAACTTAGCTTATTTGGTGACATTGTTAAATATACCTCTTTTTATTAAGACTGTCTACTTAATTGTCATGTCTTGTCAGAGCTTTTAAATGGAAAAAAAAAATAGAAATAGTTAAAGCAAAAGATTTTTTTTTTTTCTCCATTTCTGTCGAAGCCTAAATCAACTTTTTACAAGGACCTAACTGTGTTCCAAATATAAGTATATGTAATTAAATATGTTTTTCTTTTAAACACATACATATATATGATATATGTAATGTATCACAATCATTGATGTGGGGGCACTAGTCAATTCATCCATAACTATAGTATTTATTATTATTGTTATTATTATTTTAGATGTCATATATCAAACGTATTGTATAATCGAATTATTTGACAATAGGGTAGGGTCGGTTACAACAATTTCACAAGCTGTGGGGTCTTGATTCCCTTTTCTTATTACCATCCACACTTTTTTCTGGATTTGACATTATTTGCACGGGTAGAAAATATGAAATATTTTTATTTTAATATCCCTATTTTATTTACGATTTAATATCATATATATTTTTTAGTTACGTTTTCTCTTCGTTACCAATAAAGAAGAGAAAGTAATAAACCATTGGGTTAGATTAAAGGTCTATAGAAAACGACTCTCCACCCACTCATTTAAATAGTTTTCGGAGATTATCTTTGTTAATTGCTTCTTCACATGAGTTTTGGTTAATGAGACAATCAAGGTTTCTGCACTAAGAGATATAAATGATTTATTTTAAAAAATTATTGCACAACCAACTTGTTTTAGTGTTGCAATTATTATTATGATTATTTTTGAAACCCCACATGAACGTTACAATGATTTGTTTATATATTATACGGTTATGCCTATGTGTTTGATAGAGAGAAGAGAGAGAGACAGATAAAAAAAGCATCTTTTTATAAGCCCACATTGATCATTAGACATTTTTCAAAGTGCTTTTCTCAATGTCGAAATTGAAAACTTACTACATACTCTCTTGTCCGTTTTTTTCCCATCTTTCTTTTTAACTTTTAGAATATACATTTCTTCTTTTTAATATATTTGGTCAAGTTAAGTTTTTCCCAAGCTTATTAGCAAGACACTTGTAGATATAGACGCTTTCGAAGATTGATGTTGTGAGAGGATAAAAATTCAACGCAGAATGTTAATATCCCCATTCTATAAACCCTTAATTTATATGAATCCAAAATAATTTATCTACTTGAATTATGTACAACAGAATATATTTTCATTAGTATATATTTAAAACGAAGAATGGAAAAGAAAAGAGACACGGAGGAGATGTGAAGAGAGAGACTTATCCACTTTGACATAAGCCTTGGAATATTAGGTGACAACATGTGATTCCTCTCCTCACTCTCTTCCTTTTCATTTTTATTTTGCCTCAAAATTCGTTTTTCTTATTAATCTTATTTTCTGTCAATTTGTTTTACTAATATAATTATTCTTGTTTGTGAAAATTCATTTTTCGTCATCCTAAAATTATTGCCGACAAAAAAAAAAAATCATCATCCATGAAATGGTCGCACTCGCATTATAATGTTCCTGGATCAGTTCTGTTTTGTTTGTCTATCTTTCTGTTGTTGTTTATAAACTAAAACTTTAAAATTCATTTGTCGAAAGCTATCATAGAGAGTATATTAGAGAAACTACATTATCGAGTTATAGATTGAAAATAATGATTTTATCAGTGAAAGGAATAAAATTTAATGATCAAGGCAGGGATAATCCAACCAAAAATACATCCCAAGTGTATCGTAGAGAATTTAAAATATTAACTTATTCTAACTACTAAATTTTGTTTTTAAAAGTTTAATTCTGGAACTAATATATTTAAAAAAATTCATATTTCAGTCAACTATTAAACCAATAAAGTTTCCATCATTTTAAAGATATCATGAAAAAAATGTTTCGCATTAAGACAGTTGTGTGCTTTTTACTTTTTAGCCAATGAATAACATAGATATCTTTCTGATATTTTTTAATTACTCTCTGCACACAGATATGTTATATTTTTTTCACCCAAAAAAAAGATTTCTTACGAAACTGAATTTAAGCACGAAATTTTTACTGAAAAAATAGTCCCTGAAATTTGAGTTATATAGATACAAAAGCAAACAATCTATTATATAAAGAGTGAGTTGAGTCTCACAAATTTGACACCTAAGCACTCATCCTTTTGACACATCATCTTCTAAATAATTATTAAATTTTTATTATTTAATAATTTTTAAAAATCTTTTCGTAAATAAGCATCAATTTATTACTTAAATCATTGAATTCAGTGATAAACATACATTTATTAAAATAATTCTCCTAAAAAATGTGATTCATTTTCCTTAAATTAACTAATGTATATATCTTTATATACAAGTTATTTTAGTTAGATTACTGAACTAAAAAAAATAGGAGCAGTCATAAGAGGTCGAAAGAGAGAAAAGGAGAAATAAGAAGAAAAAGAGAGGAGAAAGAGTCGTGAAAGGAGGAAGAAAAGAGTAGAGAGGACAAGCCGTGAGTAGGAGAGGGAGAGAGAGGAGGAGATTAATGACAAAGAAAAAAAAAGAAACAGAGAGAGCACATAAACACGAGGAAGGAGAACAAGTGTTAGGAAATCAGAATAGATGACGTCGCAGAGAAA